CTGTCGCTTCTGAGAATTCAGTGTCTCTTATAATCCTTGGTTGTTCTGGAAGGTCCAGGCCAGGCCAAATTCATCAGCGACTCTTTGCCAGCCGCCAAGCACAGGTCACACCATGTGTGTCTTGCACTTCACCTCGGACAGAGGCCATGGGGAGGAGCAAGTAGCTCCCCAGACAGAGTCGGAAAGAACCTGTTCTGTGTGGTCTGTGGGCCCCAGCTGAGAAGCCTGCTGTGTCTTCCCAGCTCCCTCTGTCTGCTTTCCTGGAGCTGCAGTTAGCAGAGCTCAGGGAGTTCCAACTGCAGCAGCCCTTCTGGGGCCCGGCCAGAAATTTGCATCACAAACGCTAAAGGGGCCAACCGTCTAGGGCTTTGTCGGGGGTTGTGTGGCAGAAAATCCCTTATGCTGGAACTCCGCCTCGCCATCCCTTTTTGCTTTGTTTCTGTGTCTTTGTCTATCACTCCAGTAATGGAAATGAGAAGGGGTCACACAGCCTGTTTAAAGAAGAGATTATCTTCTGCTAGGGAAAAGATGCCATAGCTTGGGCTGAGGTGAGGGGCTTCTGATCACTGTGAAACATCAGTCTTTCGAGAATCATTTGTTCTCCAGATATGTTTCTTTTAAAGTGGGTATATATTGAGAGAGAGAGAAACTCAGTGAGGAAAACAGACATCACAACAAAAAGTTCGTCTTCTGCTTACGTTTACTCTGAAGCCAAAGTGAGGAAGTGGAGAAGTAAGAAACACTGTTTAGGCAATGAATTTCTTTCTGCACTCTGGTCAGGGAGAACTTTCTAAGGCCAGGGTCTGCTACAGGGGGTAGAACACATATATAAACCTAAGGATGCTCAGGCCCTAAGCAAGAAAGTTATTTTGGAAAATTGCAGTGACTGCTTTATATATTACACACACACCCCCAACAAGCATTAATTTTGTAGCAGTTCTGTTAAAAGATTAACTGAGGCATATTAAAAATTTTTAGAGTGTACTTGAGCAAAAATCAGTTAGAATTGGTCAGTGCCAAACTGGAAGTGATTAGGAACACTCTACCCACCGGGGCTGGTGGGGGAGAGGGGAGACTCTTGTAGAGAAGAAGTGGAAGCAAAGCAGGGGAGTTGTTGGATTGGCTGTAGTTTAAAGTCTAGTTGGCTGTTTGTGATTGCTTGTCCTTAGGTTTCCATTTCCTAATCTGGAGGCATTTGCAGGTTTAGGGTTTTAGATTGCTTTTACAGGCCTCCAGAGCATTAGAGCCCCTTCGGTCTAAAGGCCTCCTTGTTCAATTAATTTAACAGTTCCAGACTTAATGGAGAAGTTGCAAGATCAAGCGTCACCAGTTGTCCTGTTTGTGTCCTTTACAAAGACCTAACTGCAGAGAGCCCCTTGCACCCAGTTGTCCTGTCTTCTCCTAATTGTTGCAGGAAGGGGGACTCCTTCCAGGGCCCGAGAGTGGGCTCTTGTCTAACACTCAGAAATGAATTGTCCTAGGAGACACATGTACTGACAAAGCAAAAGACTTTATTGGAAAGGGGAGTCCGGGCAGAGAGCAGCAGGGTCAGGGAAGCTGGGAGAGCTGTTCCTCCACGTGGCTCACAATCTCAGGTTTTATGGCAATGAGGTTAGTTTCCAAGTGGTCTCTGGCCAGTCATCTTGCTTGTTCTCATATTTGGACTGACTCGGGGTCCTTCCTGGTGGCACGTGCATCTCTCAGCCAAGATGGATTCCAGTGAGAAAGATTCAGGGAGGTTGATAGGACATATGGACTGGCGTCTCCTCCCTCCTTTCCACCCCTCCTGAATTCTCCCGGTTAGTTTTTGGTGGCAGCACCTTGTTTCTTATCAGGACCTCTTGTTGCCAGACAACTCATCCAAGTGGTTATCATCGTGCCTGGCCAAGACGGGTGGTTTCAGTCAACGGTTCCCTAACATAATCTCTTGCAATCTGGAGCTATTCCTTAGTCTTTCCTTTTCTCTCATGGCTTTGACATTTTTTGAGATTAGAGGTGAGCCATTTTTAGAATATTCCCCAGTTGGGGTTTATTAAAAGGTAATTAATTAAAAGGTAATTATCAGGGAAAGATAAAAGCATGGCTTTCATAGAGATTATAAAATTGAATATGTGTTAAAAGAATGTATTTTACTCATCTGATACGAGGGAACCAGGCAGATGTTTTCACTGGTTCAAAGGAAGAGTCAAAAGGGCACAAATTTATATGAAACAGAGCAATGTCGAAATGAATTGTAAATGGAGACAAAACTGGTTTTTCACCTGCAGGGAGGAAGTTAATTAAATCACCACTAGGCAGGACAAAATGTACATATGCATCAGTTACCTACAGCTTAAAGACAGCAGGGCTGGAATCAGGGCTGGATAACCCAGAAGAGTAAGCCATAGACGCTGCATAGTTTCCTTCTGAAACACGAAGTCCTTTTTCTACAGGTTTCTCCAGTGTTTTCTTCTTTTAGAAAACATATGTCTTTGGCTAGAATATCACAGATGCTTGTGTTTATTTCATTGCATCCTCTTAATGGCACATGATGTCTCTGTCTTATTACTGATGTTCACTTTGACCACTTGGTAAGGTAGCGCCTTCCTGGTATCTCCCTGTAATGCAATCTCCCCCCTTTGTAAATAATTAAGAAATCATTTTGGAGTAGTTACACCATGGGAGATGGAAAGTGGTACAAATCGGGTTTGTATATTTTCTGCCAGAGATTTGGTTCTTCAACAATACTAACACACCACTCTTTAAAGCAATGTAGGCCATTTGTTCCCTGTTTTATTCATTGGGCTATAATTTATCACTATTATTATTTATTTTGATGTCCAGTTTGTCCCAGATATGGCTTTGGAAACTTCATCAAGCTGTATTCTGTATCCTGCCTTGTCTCCCATTATTCTTTGAGCATTTCTGTACTTTTTGGCTCAGTGAAATGTTCCAGGCTTATCTAGATCTTTCCAGCCCTGGACCGAGTCATTTCTCCAAGGAACCCCAGTTCCTTTTAGTGGAGGGTGGTGTTTGGCTCTTGCAAAAGGGCCCAAACTCTGCTCAGGCCTCCTTCCCCATGGCCACCTACTTCTTCCACTCTGCCCAATGGCTATTTGAAGGAGAAGGAAAGGAAGCTAACATATATGTGGATGAAAAATGTCCGCCTGCCATATCAGTAAACAAAGGACATGTGGCCATCACGTCATCAGCCACTGCAGCTGCCTCCCACCGCCCTGAGGGGGTTCAGGATGGAGAAAAGCAGGATACTGGCCCTAAATCGCTAAGGTGCATGTTAAAGGAATGATTTCAGTGAGCCCAGACTGTTGCATCTTCTCATATATGGAAAAGCACTAAATCCATTAACTTAAGATGTGTGGTTTTTCTTTAGTTAACCATAATCTTTTGATGTTCTGACTCCCTGGTTTATTGCAAAACTCCTATGTGTCCCGGCTCCTCCCTTTCCTCTTTGGAGCCATCCCTCAGCACTATCTGAGAGGCTGCCTCTGGAACTGAGTCCTCAGAAAGTCCACCGAATAAAATATAATTCTCAACTTTTAGGTAGTGCATTTTTTCTATATATATCAAATATATATATATATTTTTTTTTTAAATAAAGGCAGGTTAAGGAGGGGGAAGGGCGCAGGAAGAGGAAGATCACCTTATATACATTTTTAACTCCCCAGTTTTTTTTTTTTTCTTTCTTTTTTTTGTGTGGTACGCGGGCCTCTCACCGCCGTGGCCTCTCCCATTGTGGAGCACAGGCTCCGGACGCGCAGGCTCAGCGGCCATGGCTCACGGGCCCAGCCGTTCCGCGGCATGTGGGATTTTCCCGGACCGGGGCACGAACCGGCGTCCGCTGCATCGGCAGGCGGACTCTCAACCACTGCGCCACCAGGGAAGCCCTAACTCGCCAAGGGAAGCCCTAACTCGCCAGTTTTATCAAATACTAGATCTGATCTTCTCGTGCTCAGTTAGGTTTCTGAAGTGGTTACATTTTATGAGGTCGAAAATGTGAAACTTAACTTCTTCCGAATTGAGTACCTACTCTGCATGTGCCTGACATTATAGTAGTTGAGCTACAGAGCGAGCCTTTGCCTTCAGGTAGCTAGAAGGACAGTGAGATGTCCTAAGTCATGCAGCTGATGTATTCTCAGCACTGTGGACATGGGCGCCACCCTCAGTCTGGTCAAGGAAGGGAAATCAGAAGTCAGGGAGGCTGCACAGAGGAGCCTTGAATCAGATGAATTTGGGGTAGGACTTAGCTAGTCCGACAGGGAGGGGAAGGGCATTCCCCCAGCAGAGGGAAGAACACACTTAATGCCAGAGAAATGTGGCAGACTTGAGGAATGGGAAGTGGTTTGATAAGGTTAGAAACACTTGTTTCCTAATCTTTTTGACCTAATCTTTAGTTTTTAAAGAAGCATAATTGTCCTTTTTTACAGACATGTTTTGTTGATGGTGCACTTTTTTTGCAGACTACTATCCCAGGGTTCCATCTGTGGTCCTGGAATTATTGCAATGTCTCACAGTGTCTTCCTTCAGAAGAAACTTTTTTTTTTTTTCTCTCTTAAGAAAAGAGAAAGTAGAATTAGTGGGCATTTTACCAAAGAAAGATAATCAACTATTTCTCCCTTGTTGAGCATGTACTTAAGAACAACTGGACTAGTGTTTTTTGGCTCTGCTTTTTCATTGAAAATATGCCCCTCTTATTTCTAGGGATTTCCCCCTGTTGAATATATACCCATTCTGAGCCAAATGGAGTGTTCTTGTTGCCTTTACTCATAAGTAAATGCAATAGGTTGGTTACAGTGGTTTAATCCCCATCTTTTGATTGTTTTGTATCATTAAAAAAACACCAATTTATTGCTTGGAGAAATGTTTTGAAATGAATTAAGTTCTCTTAATGACTGTTAAATCTGCCCTATATCTCATCCTGGGCTTTCTTCATGATCTGTAATTTGTGTAAAACTCATTGCTTTCACACATGCTCCTTACATGACTGTTTTTGAATTTTGCAGACGATACCAGAAATTGCAGAAGATCATGAAGCCTTGGTAAGAATTTCTGATGGGTTGATTCAGATGATATAACACTTCCTTCTTCTCTGCATAATTAAACCCTGTCCTCTGACTGATTGTGTAACTATGTGTCTAGATGTTTAGAGCAAGTGATTTATTTTTGCTTGCTTTTTGATGTTCTTTTTTTAAAATTAATTAATTAATTATTTTTAATTGATTTTTTTTTTGGCTGTGTTGGGGCTTCGTTTCTGTGCAAGGGCTTTCTCTAGTTGTGGCAAGTGGGGGCCACTCTTCATCGCGGTGTGCGGGCCTCTCACTATCGCAGCCTCTCTTGTGGCGGAGCACAGGCTCCAGACGCGCAGGCTCAGTAGTTGTGGCTCACAGGCCTAGTTGCTCCGCAGCATGTGGGATCTTCCCAGACCAGGGCTCGAACCTGTGTCCCCTGCATTGGCAGGCAGATTCTCAACCACTGCGCCACCAGGGAAGCCCCTTTTTGATGTTCTTATGAACAGGTTTTTAAAAAATTTATTTCCCTTTTCTCTTTACTTTGTGGTAGAAAGAGTATTTTATGTTTGTAACCATAAAATGATCACATCAGGATTGCTACCCTTCTCCTGGAGCAAGGCTAGGCATAATTTTATGTATTACTTAAAAAAAAACTTTCTTTTTTGTGGCCTATGTGATGTTCAAAATCAAAAGTCTTTGATTTTCTTCAGTGGTTTGGTAAGAAAAAGATCCACATTAAAAAAATATTTAGGGCTGAAGTATGGAATGAAAATTATTTACTTTCAGTGTGAGAATGTGTTCAACCACCTATATATTTGTGAATTGCCTGATAATTATGTCTGGAAATCTCAAAACTTCTTTCTTAGAGTATTCCCTCCTCAGTGCCTTTATTATCCACTAAACAAGGTGAGTCCAAAGAGGATCTAACAAACTCTCTATAATAGGTTGAACAAAGTCCCATTTTGCTAAGTTGTTAAGTGTACAGTTTCAGTTTGAGAAGGAAGACTGAACAGTATCTGAAAATGTGCACCTTATTTTTTAAGCCTTCAGAGAAAATTCTGATCAGTGTATGATAGTGGTCTAAAATCATTCATCTTCCCCTACCCCTCCCACTAGAAGAAGTATTAATTGCAGGAACTCTTCAGTTATTAAATTCTAATAAAGTAGAAATATTGAGTTTTTAGGGTAAAGCTTCTTAAACCTAACTTTGATATATATTTTTAATATAGTAGAAGCACTTAATGGTAATAGCAGTAGAAGCCATCTTTTATGGGAATTTACTCTGTCCTGGGCATTGTCTCAATGTTTACACTCGTTACTTCTAATTCACACTTTTATCCACCATACAAGATGAGTAAAATTAGAATTGTTTCCTTTATGAAGAAGTTAAAATGAGGTGGTGTTGGGATTCGAACTGATTTTTTCTCTAACAACCTCATACAATTTGCTAATGCAGAAGAATTTTGGGCTCTGAAGCCAAAATAATTTCTTAAAATTTATCTGCCAGTAGTTTTAATCTTTTGGTATATAGAGGTGTTGGAAGTGTGACTAAGCGTGAATCATGATTTCCATTTATCAATCGCAGACAAAATCAATGCTCAGGGCCCTGGTAATTGCAAAGTAGCTTAATCAGACTAAGTACCATAGATAATAATTATAAACTCTAGACAAAATATCGGAAACAGAAACATCTAAAAACAAGTGTCTGAAGAAACTGTATAGCAACTGAAAACAGACAGAAAGAAGTAAGTCAATCTTTGAGAGAACAGATAAGCCCTAGATGAGATTTGTGTATTTGCAGCTTTTTGCCTGAGGAGTCCTGCTTATCCAGGTAGCATGGGGTGACAAGAACCCTCAGTCTTAGTAAGTTACTAAGAGGATATAGTTTGGGGCTGGCAGAGCAGCTAGATTATTAAGGGGAATCCATGAAAGGAAGGAGGCTCAGAAGGTATGAGACAACCCCATATCTATATATAAACTCTGCCAGCTCTATCACTGATCACTGAAGTGTGAATATACGTGTGTATGGGAACCCCAAAGGGACCTGGTTAAATTAGCAACTGGAAATGGAAAGAATTGGGAAGAGATTTAAACTGTCACTCACTGAGGAGTTTGGAGTCTGATTCTAGCCAAGTTAACTTCCTACTAGAACAAAAACCAATTCTTCAGAAGAACAAAGCTGAACTATGGCCTTGGCAATGTTTCATTCCCAATGTTCAGAATACAGTAAAAAATTACTAGGTATATAAGGAATAGGAAAAGATGACCTATACTTAAGAAAAGAAATAAAGCAAGTAGTAGAAGCCTGCCTTGAGATGACCCAGATGTTGGAAATAGCAGATGAAAATTTTAAAGCAATGTTTATAAATATATTAAAAGACTAAAGAAAAGCATTAGCATATTAAATTCGCAGATGGGGAGTCTCAGCAGAGAAATGGAAATAAGAAATAACCAATTGGAAATTATGAAACTGAAAAGTATAATATTTAAAATGAAAAATTCACTGTAGGAGTTGAAGATGGCAGAAGAGACAGTAACCTTGAAGATATATCAGTATAGGTTACCCAATCTGAAGACTAGATATAGTGAATAATTGACCTGTGAGATAGTAGCAGTTGATTTTAAATACATTTAATTGGGGTCCCAGAGAGAGAGGAAACAGATAATGGAGCAGAAAAATGTTTGAGGAAATAATGATAGAAAATTTCTGAAATTTGTTGAAAAACATAAATTTTTAGATCTAAGAAGCTTGTTGAACCCAAGTGGGATAGATAGAAAACTATGCCTAGAAACATCATAGTCAAACTTCTGAAATTGAAGGATAAAAAGGATACCTTGAAGGCAGCCAGAGAAAAACAACTTATTACATTAAGAAAATAAAAATAAGAATGAGAGCTGACTTCTCATTAGAAATATGGAGGCCAGAAGGCAACTTCTTAAAAGTGCTGAAAGAAATAAAAGAAAACTTGTCAACCCAGAATTCTTTTCTAATAACACTATCTTGGAAATGAAGGTGAAATAAGAGTACTTTCAAATAAAGGAAAACTAAGATGGTTCATTGTTAGCAGATACACGCTACAGGAAATTTGAAGGAAGTTCTTCAATTAAGAGGCGTCAGATCAAATTTGAAAAAGCAGGACCCAGCTATATGCTGTTTACAAGAGATATACTATAAATACAAAAGAACATGTAGTTTGAAAGTGGAAAAACATATACCATGTAACTGGAAATAATAATAAAACAGTTGTTTTATTAATATCAGGCACAATAAGACTTCAAGGCAACATATTATCAAATATTAAGAGAGATAATTCACAATAAAAAATGGTTGGCTCATTAGGAAGACATAAAGTGTTAAATGTGTCTGTACCTAATATATAAGGCCTCAAAGTACATGAAGCAAAATCTGACAACTAAAGAGAAGTATAGACAAATCTGTAATCATGGTTGTAGATTTTAACACTCTTTTCTAATTTCTTTTTTAATTTCTAATCTTCCTTCAAGAAAGAATTTGCTAATCAACCCGGAGGAGTACAGTTAGCTGATAGCTTCCTGCTATAGCACGTTCAAGATCCATAACAGCTTTCAAACTATACACGCTCTTTCTAGGCAGCCCCTAGTCAGTGAGCCTGATGAACATGGTGCACATACCAGGGCCTCGCCATTTCTGCCCATTGTGGGACCCCTCTAACAGTCCGTATTTATACTGAGCTTCCTCTTGGGTTGGCTGGGACTGTCGGATCTACATCTGCTCCTCTTTCCTTTCACAGGCATCAGATCTACCTCACGGTCTGAAGGGTATTCTTACCCAGTCTTGCTTTGTGCCTCTTTATCTTTCACAAGCACCACCTATCTTCCAATAAGCCTCTTGCTCTCCTTACTCCATCTCAGCATTAACTGAGGACTAAACTGACACAAAACTGACCTATGAGGAAATAGAAAATCTGAATACCCACATCTGTTAAAGAAGTTGAATTCATTTTCAAAAGCCTTTACACGATGAAAATAGGTTACAATGGTGAATTTAATTATACATATGCAGAAGAAATACCAAATCTACACATATGGTTTCAGAAAATAGAGGTAGAGGGGAAAAGTCCTCAGTCATTTTATGAGGCCTATGAGGCCAGTATCACTCTGATACCAAAACCTGACAAAACCAATGCAGGAAATAAAAATTAATCAACAGAGGTGCAACACTCCCCAGAAACATATGAACAAATACAATCAAGCAATGTATGAAAAGTATTTGTGGGCCTTCCCTGGTGGCGCAGTGGTTGAGAGTCCGCCTGCCGATGCAGGGGACACGGGTTCGTGCCCCGGTCCGGGAGGATCCCACGTGATGCGGAGCAGCTGGGCCCGTGAGCCATGGCCGCTGAGCCTGCGCATCCGGAGCCTGTGCTCCGCAACGGGAGAGGCCACAACAGTGAGAGGCCCTGCGTACCGCAAAAAAAAAAAAAAAAAAAGATTTGTGGCCTGTAAAGATGTAAAGATTTATCTCAAAAATAGTTTAACATCTGAAAAATCAGTCACTGTGATTTAGTATTTAGCAAAATAAAGGAGAAAACTTAAAGAGAAAAAGCATCTTTACAGATACAGAAAGTAGATAATAGATACAGAAGAAGCATTTCTTAGCGTCCAACAGTCATTCATAAAAATTCTCAGTAATCGAGGAATAGAGGGAACTTCCTCAACCTGATAAAGACTATCTGCAAAAAAAAAAAAGCGTTACACTTAATGTTGGAAGACTGAATCCCCACCCCTCCCAATAAAGACTGGGAGTAAGGCAAATATGTAGCACTTCTGTTCAAACTTGTACTATAGTTTTTAGCCATAGCAATAAGTCAAGAGAGAGATAAAAGACATAATGATCAGAGAGGAAGAAGTAAAACCAACTCTATTCGTAGAGGACATGATTGACTATGTAGAAAATCCTAGGGAATCTATAAAGAAACTGCTAGATCTCATAGCTGAATTTAGCAAAGTTTCAGGATATAACATGAGTATATAAAAGGGACATATTTTTATACCTTAATAGCAAACAACTGGAAAATGAAATTTTATAATTTCCATTTACAAAGTGTCAAAAATCATAAAATTCTTAGGAATAAATTTAACAAGAGACATCAGTATCTGTTCACTGAAAAAATAATATATTGCTGAAAGAAATTAAAGAAGACCTAAATAAGTGGAGAATATACCATTTCATGGATTGGAAGACACAGTATACCTAAGATAGCAATTCTCTCCAAATTAGGTTCAGTGAAATACAGTCTTTTAAAAAGTAATTACGAGCCAATCCTAAAAACTTAAAGGAAATGTACTGGACCTAGAAGAGCCAAAACAGTCTTGAAAAACTCATAAAAATCAGTAAAGTTGGAAGATTTCATTAACTGACTTCAAGGCTTCCTGTAAAGTTAGTTATTAACACAATATGATATTGGTGTAAGAGGATAGACAGATCCATGGAATAAAATAGAGTCCAAAATTGATCCACAGTTAAATTTTCAACAAAGGAGCCAAGAGAATATATGCTGACGTAAGTAATGCTATGATTCTAAAGGGTAAGGGAATGTCTGAAGGGCAACAGAAATCCATACATTTCAGTGTATATAAGTTTTACCAGAAACAAAATAAAATACTAGGGAAAACTCAAAGGGCAGGGTAGAACTATATTCATTAATTCTGGCAGTTAGGAATATATTCAGTATGATTTATTAATATCTTTGAAACTGGTCTTTATTTTCATCTTTTCTCTGCTTCTCTTTTGGGCATGACACCCAGTGGAGACATTTGGAAGCACTACTCTTTTATAAAATTAGCAGCATAAAATTTAAATGCTTTGAGATTGGCTGAATTTTGTTGGAAAGAAGAGGGTCTCTACTGAATTGATGAGAAATATTTATTTGAATCATTCCAGCACACATGGTGTGTTGGCTGTGACATGGCTCTCAACCAGCATGTAAAGTTTGCAGTCGGCTTAATTTGTGTCAGTCAGTGCTGCAAAATCTTTAGCTTTGCACTTTCTAAAAAAAAAAATAAACCAAACAAATAAAAATGCTCCCCACATGTGACATGTGGTTGCTTTATATTTGTAGTCCTTTTAGCCTTGATCTTCTGCACCCAGCACTGATTTCAGAGACAGGACCCTGGCTCCTGCCTTCCCTCTTGGAGCCTGAGTCACTCCTCTAGCAGTGAAATAAGCATCTGTGTCAGGGTTCAAGAAGAGCTTTTATAGCTGCCTCATTTGAAATGAGATGATTGAGTCCGTTGATTTGGAAGGTAATAAAATTTTAGCATGGCTCTCCTTTTCTTGCAACTAAGGATTTGAAGTTGAATTTTGAAAAAATTCTCCCCATGTAAACCTAGTATGCCATCCAGCAACCAGTTATAATGAATTATATATGTCATATATATACTATATGTATAATATAGTATATATGCATATTATATATTTTATAATATATAACATATAACATATAAACATAGTATATCTAATAACATTTATATCTATATATTTATAAGATACATATATATGATTATATATAATAGATGTCTAATAACATATCCATATACTTATATATTTAAATATATTAAATGTTATTAGATAATATTTATATAAATATAAATTATATAACATTTATATAAAACATTAGATGGACCAAGAGAGCTCTCCTTCTCCTGGGCACCTTGGTGTGATGTGAAGAAGCTTCTCTCATTTGTCAGTCGTTCACATTAATGGGTTATCACAAAGCACAGAAAGCCCTAGCTGCACTCTCAGAAATGATGCTCCAACTCCTTAACAACCTTGGGGAGTTAAATCCTGGTCCCGAAAGCAGCTTGGAGGTTTGGAAACCAAACAATACTCTTTCCCTTTTTCTCCATCTTTTTCCCAGGTCCTTGCAGCCTGTCTGAGGAGCCTGTAGGCAGAGCTCTGGAACACTTGAGGGACAATCCCCAGATGTTACTAAGGCCATTTGGATTATGAGTCCATTGAGCAAGGAGCGGAGTCATTTTGCCTTCAGATAATTAGACAGCATAAATACAGTTTATCTTTTGCTTTTAAAGCAGTTAATGAAGACTAATATCATCTCTAGTCCCAGCTACAGCGAATATAAAGAAGAGTTTGATTTCAGCAGCATGTTACTCCTTTTTCACTGCCCGTTCCATTGCTTGTTCTTTTAGTGACAATACTGAGGCAGTATTTTTGCACTGTGTGGAGGTCACAAATGCCATCCTCCAATGTCTTATAGATGGGCATCTTATAGCAGTTGAGGTCTTTTAGCGTGCCAGGTGTAAACAGATGTCAGCCATTCGTTATCACTTGGTGGTTGTTTTTTCCTTTTTATAAGTAAAAAAATTGCTAATATGGTTTATCACTAATAATATAATAAAATAATAAATTAGCTAATATTGTTTACTAATAATTCTATACATTATTATGTAATAATATTTTCACAGTAATTCTAATGCCTGCATAATCTGTTAATAAATCTTACTAATTGCTTTTATTTCCTGGCTCTCTTATTTTCCTGAGGCAATTTCCTGCTTTTTTTTTTTTTTTTTTGCAAGCTAATGTTTGGATTTTCTTAGGACTCATTGTCTGTAGAAAGAGCCATTCTGGAATTTTTATATAACCTTTCTTGCTAGTATTTTTAATCCATTTTCCGCCTATCTTTCTACTTTTTTTTGTTTTCTTAAAATAAGCTTGAGTTTTCTGGTTTGAAATTTCCTTTTTGGGGCATGATTCTCTGATGCCACCCTGTATGATTGGGATTGCCCGCCTGTGACTCAGAAAAGCCTTAAAAAAATATTTGCTGCTTTTCTCTCTGGCTTGAAACGTTTGGCTTTTCTTGCAATTTTTTTTTTTTTCTCTCTCGAAGGACAGAGAATTCTTGACACAATGAAGATAGACATTTGAAAATCATGAGCTTTATGTACCTTTTTAAAATACCACTTTGCATAATGATAATAACTAACATTCGCATACTGCCTTCCATGTGCTATACAATGCTTAGAGGGCTCTAAGTATGGTAGCTCCTTTCATTTCCCCAGCAATCCTCTGAGTTAGGTATCACCACCACCACCAGCATCACTGTCGTCCTCATTTTTATAAAATGAGGAAACCGAGGCATACAATGTGTCCTTGTCCACTGAGAGCTGGAGGGTAGCCTCTGCTGTCTGACTCCAGAAACCAACCACTTAGCCATTTCTATCAGGCGCACCTCATCCCCTTTGATCTCCGGCAGCTTGGGATCACGGTCCTTTCCTGAGAGCCACTTCCTCTTTGGTAGGTCTCTTTTCAGCATCACAGCTTTGGAGATGATGCAGAATTTTCCAGGTGTGTTATTGAGGCTGGGCTGAGAACACTAGGAAGAAGGGAAATTGTGAAGCTGTTTTAAAAGAAATATGAGCTTGTTTCCTATTCTATTAATTGAAAATGGATGGGAAGATTCAATGTAGACACTTTATGAGACTTTGTAGTGTAGCAATTGTGATATATAAGAGTCTACAGATTAAAAATCTGAACAACTAGTTTTATTTTTAAAAAATCAAGCATATGAATCAGTGTGGTTGTATATAGTGTAGAGATCCTGATGGGCGTAATTCAATGTACTTGAAGAGAAAGTACTTCTCTTGAGAGTTTTGAGTTACTATTTATTATGGTGATAATTTACAGTAGAGGTAAGTTTCTGTAAAAGATTCTCAGTGTTGGTTTGAAAGCCCTAGAAATCAGGGTATTGTCTGATAAGGGTCACGGGTGGAGCTTATTTAGAAGGCCGTTCTTTTACTTGAGCTTGCCTGATCTCTGCTTAGACTTCTAACCCACTCATGAGACCCTTCCTACAGCCTTTTGAATCACAGCAAGTCTATGGTCAGCAAACAGTCATTATCTATAATATTCCAGAAAGGTATTATATAAAGCCTATTAACTAAAGATAAAATGCTGGCCAGTATAGTATAGAAATGAATATGTTTACTTACATATATATTTGTATCTATGTGTGTGTGTGTAAATGCACTCACCCAAATACACACACAAATATAGACCACAAGAATCCTTTGCAAAATGCTAATACTGTTAATAGAATTATTTATAATCTTCCCTGTTGGATACCCAGAGATAATAAAGAAGCATATTGCCCTCTTCCTAATTTTTGTTTGCTGGGAAGCTTTTTTAAGCTATCATTTACTGAATTCTTGTATGTTACACACTTTATTAAGTGCTCTACAAGCAGCCCTGTGATGAAATAGATTTCACTATCCAGTTTTTCAGCAGAGAAGACAGAGGCTCAGGGAGATTAGGGACCTGCCCAGTACAACACAGCTCACCTGAATGAGAGTGTGAGTCCAGGTGTGTCCCACGGAGGCCCTGGCTCCCCTCTGTGAAGCCACCTGCCTCCTACCTATTGACTCATGTTTGCAAGGACATTGCCTGTGGCCCAGCTGCTTATCCCAGCGATCTCTTACAGTTCTGCTTGTATTCAGCTTTCTAAAGCTTTCTCACTTCTGTCTTCCCTTGTATTTAGCTCTTGGGCCCATCACCCTTATACGATCTTGTGTTTTCCAGCTTTGGAGACATGCTGTCCTTCACTCTGACGGCCTTTGTGGAGCTGATGGACCATGGAATAGTGTCCTGGGATACGTTTTCGGTGGCATTCATTAAGAAGGTAATTCAGATTGTGCTTCCCAAGGTCAAATCACTTCCTTCTTTTACAGATATTTTTCTCTGATTTGAGCATATTTTAGAATGGTTTGTTTTAGTTCTTTGTGTTAAAGTGTGAGTGTGGTTTTTGATAGTATTATGTATGTGGGGGTCAGGGCACCTAAATTCTGTATGAAAAATGATGTTTTCTCCCCACTGGGATCATAAGGGATTGTATAATACATGAGAACCCATAGTCAAGGAAAATCAAGGTGACATGTTAAAATCAGAGAAGCGTCTGCTGAGCCGCTCTTCTGGACTCTGCTGTTCTCAAGATCTAAGTAGAGTTCCTGCTGTCCTTCCCAATCCTTCTCCCCTTAACCAGGTGTTCAGGAAAAGGGAAAGAGGCAAAATATACTGATTATTATATGACTGGGTCTGAAGTAGGAATGTAAGAGAAGAAGGTGTGCTTGGATCCATGCCTCTTAGGCCGAGTAAGCCTGCTTACTGGTAATCTTGGCGCAATAAATGTCTCTGAGATCAACTAATTCGCTTGGTTCCTACTTTCCTTAGGAGGGAACTAACGAAGGTACAGGCAAAGGTGGACCTGGTTTGGGGAGAGAGGGCAGAAGAGGCCCCTACCATTCCCAGCAGTTGAATAGTAATAAAGACGTGTCTGCAAATTTACAATTCTCTTTCCAGTGTTCTAACAAAAAGTGAATAGCCCTGACTTTATAACTATTAAATGTAGTATTAAATCAAGAATCATTATTTATTAATTTTTTAACTTATTTTTCCTCTCTTTGTATTTGTGAAATGGCTGATAAATGTATTGGCATCTTTCTTCCTGCTGTTTTTGGAAATGAAGAGTTGTTTGGAATTCATACATTTATCTTATCTAGATTCCTGGGAAGGGTTGTCTAAAATAAAGAATTTCAGAGAGTCTGTGCAAAAGCTGGAAAATCAAAGCAAAATCCAGTATGAGTCACTTGAGTTTTTAAAGACTTTTATTTTGAAATCATGGTAGAGTTATAGAAAATTTGCAAAAAAATAGTACAGAATGTTCCATATAAGCTTCAACCAGTTTCCCTAAACATTTTGCATAATAATAGTATCATTATCAAAACTAGGAAATTAACAGTGGTGTAATACTGTTACCATTATTTGATTTCAGCAGTTTTTCTACCAATTTCCTTTCTCTGGTTAAGGACCAGATCCAGGATCCAAGACTGCATTTAGTTGGCGTGTCTCCCAATGTGACATTTCCTCAGTTTTTCCCTGTCTTTCATGACTTTGACAATTTTGAAGAATACTGGTCAGTTATTTTGTAGAATGTCCCTCAGTCTGGGTTTTTTGATATTTCCCTCATGGTTAAATTAAGGTTATGAATTTTCAGCAAGAATATTAGAGAAGTAATGTTGTGCCCTTTTCAGAGCATCACACTGGGGTATGAGATGTTAATATGCTTATTAATGGTGATGTTGACCTTGATTATGTGGATAAGGTGGTATCTTGTGGGTCTCCCCACTGTGAAGTTATCTCTTTTCTTTTTGAAGTTAGTCAGTACCTGGAGGGAGACACTGCCTTGAATTGAAGAGCATAGAAGAGCTCCTAGTCTGTTCATTGAGGGTGTTGGGAGCAGAAGCCCCACAGATTGAACGCCTTCATGATGCCTATTTTTTCCAGAGGAGGGCCGATTGGGAACCCAGGGCCTTCTTGACGCACCTCTGAATCCCTTTTTCCTACGAGGGAAACAAGTAATGGGAACCACCTAGAAAACATACAAAGAAGGATGAAGCCTCTTTTTGCCTATATTTGTCAGTGGTATGAATTGCTCAAAAAAGGAGAAATGACTGTAGAAGAGAAAGCCAAGGAAATCCTGATGTGTTAGGAAGTACTTTCCTTTGGTGGTGACAGGAAATGCAAGCATTAGATTATGAATGCAGAGAAAAAATTGCTGTATTTTTTCTTTCCAAGATAAAAGTTCTAGAGAAATGGAATATTATTCAGCCGTAAAAAGAATGAAATATTGCCATTTGTAGCAACATGGATGGACCTAGAGATTATCATACTAAGTGAAGTAAATCAGACAAAGACAAATATTATAGGATATCACTTATATGTGGGATCTAAAAAATAGTGCAAATGAACTTATTTACAAAACAGACTAACAGGCATGGAAAACAAACTTATGGTTACCAAAGGGTAAAGGGGAGAGGGATAAATTAGGAGTATGGAATTAACAGATACACACTACTATATATAAAATAGATAAACAACAAGGACCTACTGTAGAGCACAGGGAACTATATTCAATATCTTGTAATAACCTATAATGGAAAAGAAGCTGAAAAAGAATATATATATGTGTGTGTATATATATATATATATATATATATATATACATACACACACACGTATATATGTACACACACATATATAAAACTGAATCACTTTGCTGTACTGACACTAACAGAATATTGTAAATCAACTGGACTTCAATTGAAAATAAAAGTTCTAGGGGAAGTAAGTTCAAATCTGAAAATACTGGGTTTTGCAGATTTTTCATACTTAACAGAATTTTTCAATTCATTCTGAATTTATGGCAAGCCTTTCTTTCCTACATCCAAATTGCTTTGCTTTTCTGATATTAGAGCCTCTTTTGCTATAAAAACAGTGCTGTTCTGAACGTGAATTCCTTGAAGTTATGTTATGCTTTCACCCACATTATCTCTTTTGATCCCCACAGCAATCCTTTGTGGAACAGAGCAGTTAGTCTTGCTACTCCTGGTCAGGAGATGAGGACACAGTGGCTTGGGGAGATTGAGTGAGGTTATAGAGAGCGGGGTGTCATTGGTCCCCCGGGTCAGGGCTCCCTCCCCCATCATCATGCACCTGTGTTTTAAGCGATGGAAAGAACAGCTCCTGAAGAATAGTCTTGTTGAAGCAGCGTTACCTGTTGTTCAGCCCTCCCTGACCTCACTGGTGCAGAGTTAACTGATTTCTTCTGCTCTCCATTCTCCTTGGATCTTGTATATGCCACTATCCCAGCACTTACCACATTTCTGAGGACTTCTTGTCTTTTGACTGGCTCTCCCAAGAGACCATGAGTCCTTGGAGGGTGGAACCGTGGCTTTCTTCCTGTCTCTATCCTTAGAACCCGGCATAGAGTAAGACCTTAATACGTTTCTGTGAAATGAATGAGTGAAATTTGCTCTGGAAGCATTTTTTTAAACCCTAAAACTTGAAGAAAAAAAAAGAATACTGTGCCACTGTATTTAAATATATTTCAATTAAAACTTCAGTTATGAATATAAAGGAATTACAAAGCTGTCTTTCTTTAAATGATGTGAGATGTGGTTAAGAGAGAATGACAATAATCTAATTTCCTAACTGCCTATGAAAACAGTTTTCATTCACTGAAATTAAATAAAAATCATATTAGATCTAAGGAAGCAAAGACTAGCAGTCTTGGCAGTTTAAGTTAAAAATTAAATATTTTTCAAAAGGCAGCACGTTTAATATATGCTATCCTCATTCCTAGTCATTCTGTTTCCTTTGCATTGCTACTTAAACCTCAACTCCTTATGTGAATTAAAAAAAAATGGTCATCAGAAAATGACTTTATAATTGATAGTTTTTGTAAGATTAACTTTTTTATTCATTAGCTGGATCAAATTCAGCACTTTGACAACCCAGGAATTGTATACAGGCAACTGTCTTTTAAATGGAGCTTTATCTAGACAAAAATCAACTAGGAAATGCGCTGACAAAAGATGCTTATCTCTGTGGTCCAGACTTGGCTTCCTATTAATGCCAAATTCATACGACTTTGGAGCAATATTTTTCCCCTGCCAGCCTTGGTCTCCTTCCCCACTATCTATTTTGTTATGTGTGAATCTAGATTCTAGTTTACAAACTTTTTCTGTAATAAATAATATCATTTCATAAACACTTTGAAACTTGGAATCCCTTGATGCCAATATATAACATTGTTGCTTTTTAAAGACTTGGCTTCTTAGGGAGAGGGTCAGAAGGCATGGAGAGGAAAGAAATGGAAAAAAAAAAACAAAACCTAGAACTTTCTGTGCTACCAGTTGGTTTTCCCCTAGCCAAGTATAATATCAGTGATTTTTCTTGGAAGGAAAGTTTTATACAAATGCTCTTGAAACCTTAGCTCTGCAGGAGGGCCTGGGTCACCCTGCAGTATTTTCAGTGCCTGAATAAACATCCAGCCAGTTTCAGCTTAGAGACCCAATAATTTTTGCCTCTTAACAACTTGAGAGATTTATGGGCCTCTGCCCAGATAATTTAAAATATGGGAGTGGAGCTCCATGTTCTCCATGGATCTTTTCAGTTTTGATAACTTAGGATAATTTTAAGATCTCAATCTAAGTGATTCAAAGAAGTGTTTATGTAATTTTAATAATTTGTATCATTGATTCATGTGATGACCCTTAGCTTCTAAAATGTCACCCAAATAGTCCTATGTTCTATTTCGGTAGCACTTTTAAATGAGTGGAAGCACGTGGAGGTAATATATATAATTACTTTTAGTTCCTCCTACCTCTTTTTCCCTTTGATACAGACCTACTTTCAAGAAGCTGTCCTTCGATTGATTTAAGCCGGCTCACCTGTGTTGACCAAAAGTACAGAAATGGAGCTGGGAAAAATTTAAAGGCAAAGGAAGTCATTAGTGACTTTTGGGAAGACAAGGGAATTTAAAATTTAACCAATCTTTAACCTTCTATAGCTATACTACGATCTGTAGTTTTTAAACTAGACATAGAAAATAACATTTATACAGTCACAGATTCGTCCATGCACCAATAAGGAGCCTGTCTACAGTCATCATGTTTGCTCAATCGGCCCTGATGCCTTGGTTATCAGTACTCATTAGTTGACAATATTGGGTCATTTAGATGTCTAGTTAAAACTATTGACAAAATAAGGGAAAAGATAGAAGTTAGTTTCAAAAAACGACTAGTATATCCTACAGAATTGTGCATAGGACTCTAATGAGTTGTGTGCCTGCTCTCTGCCAGCTTAGTGTGTTACACAAAATGTTGTACCCTGCTTCAGGCTTGCTGAAGAGATGGGATCTATGTGTCAAGGAAGAGCTGAAGTGATGGAAAAGATTAACTTTAAACAATACCTTGAGGAAGGTAATGGATTAGTTTCATGAGAGAGAAATATATAAAAATGGCAAATGGAAATGGAATATATATGTGGGGCACAATGTCTGAATGAAAGCAAAGGCCATAGCCTGTTTTACCATCATTGTATAAGCCTGTTGGGAGCAGGTGAGAGTTAATAATTTGCAGAGAACTTTAAAACCCATTATAAGAAAGTGTGCTTCATACCAGGAAAACATTGAGAGTTTTGATTGAGTATTTCAAGAAAGGAAATACTGTCACAGGACATTTATGGAAGTAAAGGGTAAATTTGTATTAGAGGGAAATCTTGAATATAGAGGAAACTGAAGGAGATGCTGTCTTAGTAACGCAGGAACGAGTTGGACCATGGGCCAGTGTTGTGTATATACAACTGAACATGTATCATAGGGGAGACATTGCAAATGTGTCCACGGAAATAGAAAGTAGGGAACTAAGACTATTAATCACTAATGATTATGGCAAACTTCGAGAAAGGTGATACTTGAGAAGGCAGGAATAAGAAGTCAATGAGATTGATTTTTAGCCCATTTAATTTTAGGCTTTGTTGGAATGTCTAAGTGGAGGTATACTTTTGGATGCCAAGAATAAGCACGTAACATACTTCATAGTAAATGACTTTTTTTTTTTTTTTGTGGTATGCGGGCCTCTCACCGCTGTGGCCTCTCCCGCTGCAGAGCACAGGCTCCGGACGCGCAGGCCCATCGGCCATGGCCCACGGGCCCAGCCGCTCTGCGGCATGCGGGATCCTCCCGGACCGGGGCACAAACCCGCGTCCCCTGCATCGGCAGGCGGACTCTCAACCACTGCGCCACCAGGGAAGCCCGTAAATGACTTTTTAATCTGTCTGTGCTAGATTATAAAGTCCTTGAATTTAAAAATCATGTGTGTTTGCTCATCTCTTGATTTCCAGATCCTAGGTCAGTGCAAGCCTGTTTCATAGCATATGGTCAATACATATTACTTGAATGAATGCAAAGAAGGGATGAAGGCTAGAGGGTGGGAGAGGGAGGTTGACCATCAGCTTTCTGCTGGAGGATTCTCCATGGAGTCTTAAAGGTACATCCAAATTTACTAAATGGAGACAAGAAAAGGAGCATAGAAGGAGAATAGAATTAGTGCAGAGAAATAAGAGTTATTGTCAATGCACTTCTTTGTGAGTTCTTCAGTTTTCTACTAAGTGCCAAGAATTATACTGGGACAATGAAAAATGGTTGGGGTGGTGCTGGTGGGGAAGTCAAAGAATTTATATTCTATTTAGAAGAGATCTAAGTTAGGTGTTAAACCATGAGCACGGTATGAGGGTCATTGGATTTGGGGGAGAGAAAGTTGGCCTTAGAGAAGGAAAGGTGGCATGATAGATATCATAGGGGAGCTGACCCATCTATGAGGATTAAGGCGAGGGCTTGGCAGGGACAGTAAACACATTAGAGAAGTTTACTAGCTGTGAAAGGAGCTAAAGCAGTCTTTTGAGAATCTTAAAGTTCTCATACTCTTCCTGTAGTCTGATTATAAAATAATAGCTTTTTGGAATATAAATCATAATGTTACTTTATTTCTTCATGTCATTTATTTTTCACCCCCCTGAGATCCAGGTGTATCTGGAGGCACAAAGGGTGTTGATATCTGTACCCCTCACCCCTACTTTCACTGGGGAGTCATTGGGCTAAAAACAGTTGAGCTGGTAACTGTCAGTTGTCATGGTCCTTTTGCATTTTATCTTGTACAGTGATGGAGAGAGGATGAGAAGGGGACAGTGAGACAGCAGAAAGGGAGAAATTAGTTTTGATGGGGGGGGAGAAGTAAGTGTCAATTTGTCATGGAACCAAATTATTTAGCTTTTAAGAAAGCAGTCATTATGATGATATAATAACAGCGTTTTAGTGTGAGTTGTCAACAGACAGTAAGAACTTTTAATGAGGCCTCTAAAATAAAACCTTCATGGTACCCATGTGTTTGGGTTACTGTGATCCATTATTCTAATGCTTATTTTACTTCCCTCTTACATTGTGATTTATTATGCTTGAGGCTTTAGTGATTAATTCCTTAGGGAATGTATTTTAGAGCTTAAACGACTATTTTAACTTTTAACGCTTCTAATTTAAATGTTTTCCTGTTTGCTAAATTTGAGAGAGATGAGAAGAATTTATTTTAACCATAAGAAATTGGAAGAATGGGGAAAAGAGTGTTTCATTGAGTGTTCCGTTGAATAAAAAGGAGAATAGCCAGTGAGTGAAAAGTTGCCAGTTGCATTGTGTTGACAAGTGTGATTTGTGTGAGTCCCTCAAGAATGTAACAGGGGCATAATAAGAACATAAAAGCCACAGATCGTGTGGGTGAAGGAGTAGCCTGGAAATGGAAGGGAATGGCTATAAGTATATGTTGAAATTACTGTCTCAAAGAAACACAAGAGTTCTTATGTGTTGAAATTGTCTGCCCCTGAAAGCTGAAACTCAGAAGAATCATTCCAGAAACACCAGACAGAATAATTCTTTGAAGCTGTTTCCTTTTTAAGATTGCTTATTACTGAGCTAGAGAAATAGGATATAAATAGTGGTCTGTAATAAGCTGGTGAACAATCATTGTTGACTCCATGCATTTCTGACTATTCTTCTGTAATAGTACTATCCCAAGTACTTTTCGTCCTCGGTGTCTGGTGTTTCTTAAATGAGCTCCCGATTTACTTGATTTGCTCCCTTCTCTACTTCTTTGCTCTGCTTACCATGAGTTGTGTCCCGCTTGGGTTTTCAGATAGCAAGTTTTGTCAACAAGTCAGCCATAGACGTCTCCATCCTGCAGCGGTCCTTGGCCATTCTGGAGTCCATGGTGCTCAACGGCCATGACCTCTACCAGAAGGTGGCACAAGAGATCACTATTGGCCAACTCATTCCCCATCTTCAAGGGTAAGCAAGATTGACTCCACCACAGTGGGAAGGGAAAATGCTTCAGGTGGACAGCCACCATAACCCCCTGGGAAAGGTTTCATATTGGTTTGACTAATACACAGAAAAAGAATCTTGATTTGGTATATAATCAAACCATGTCCCATGCTTGTCCCCCATCACACTGACATAGCACAGTTACTTGCCCCTGGGTGCTCCCCTCGGCTGCTTTTGTCACTGGTCTGCCCCCAGCGCCTTGGTAGGCACTCACTTCTGATCAATGTTGGTAGATATCGGTAGAGTTTTACTTTTAATAAGACACAATAGGACAATTTGTTCTCTTAAGTTCTCAACAGAGTCTTTATCCTTAATCATATAAAATAGTGCTTTCTGTGATATAATGAGAATTTTCATACTTAATTAGGAATTTTTAAAGCCAGGCTTCTTTCTTAGGCTCCAGGTGATTACAATGACCTTTGATTGCTGTATTCTATAATATACGAATTTTTTAAGAGGCTTGAGCTATGAGACAGCTGCCCTAGCAGACTTCGGTCTTTGGGGATCTCTCCTTCTCTCTATGCTTAGGTAACTAGTAAGGTTGCCTCTGATGATACAAGCGTGAGAAGGAATCCCTTGTACGATGCCACTTTATCAATTAAAGTATTTGGATTGCAGGTGGCAAGAAGCATCCTGAGCTAGGACAGGGAGTTTATTGAAAGGATACTGGCGCACTTTATAGAACCGAGGAATGACTTAAGTAGCTAAGCCTTGGGAAGGACAGAAACTATGGCCTCCTTGGAGTCCTCACAACAGGCCTTTTCTCTAGCGTACTGGCTGGCAGTCATGTGACTTGGCTCCCAGTAACTGCTGCCCCTGGTCTCTCAGGTCACATTGGCAAATTTTCAAGAAGAAACCTGATTGGCCTGTTTGGGTTGGGGGTGTAGGATGGGGATGCGAGGGAGTATTCAGTAGTTCTCAATCTACCGAAAATGTTGACTGTGTTTATAATATAAACTACCGAAGTGCATTAGAGGTTTCCTTCATATGGAGGGGGTATGGTGACTAGAATGTAAAATGTTAAGTAACACAGTTTATGGATTGTGGCCTCAGGGAAAATTAACATATGCTCTAAAATGATGATTTTGTGTGAAATCTCTCTGGAAATAATACCAGTTTCACATGTCCCTGAATGTGAACTGTATCAACTTAAAAGTCTGTATCTTTTCTCTGAATCTCGAGGGCATCACTGTGCATTTATAGAGTGCTTTGCCAAGTGGAGAGTTTTTCATTTGCCAAGTGCTGTACTAAAGATTTTATATGCAATACCTCATTTTATCCTAAAGGCAGCTCCTTGAAATAGGAGTGTTTTTACCCAGTGTTACAGATGAGGAAACTGTGTTAGGGACACCCTGTGAACTTGTCCAAGGCCACACAGCCGGGCTGTGGGGCACTGGGCTTAGAATTTCATCCTGCCAAAGGCTGTGTTCTAAGCTCTGCCTCTTCCTAAATTATCTCTAAATATAACCTATAGGCCTCTGGTCCCTAGCCTTGGGTCCTTCTTATTTACTATATATTTACCATGCAGCTAACACTAGATCTTGGCTTTATTTGAAATTTCCGATTTCATTCCTGTGAAAAGCAAATTTGTAAACATAAAAACCTATTCTTTTGTTATTTAAAAGTTTCTATTTGGTAGATAGCTAGTGGGAAGCAGCTGCATAGCACAGGGAGATCAGCTCCGTGCTTTGTGACTACCTAGGGGTGGGAGGGAGACACAAGAGGGAGGGGATATGGGGATATATTGTACATAGAGCTGATTCATTTTGTTGTACAGCAGAAACTAGCACAACATTGTAAAGCAATTATGCTCTAATAAAGATTTTAAATTAAAAGAAGTTTCTATTTGAGAAATAGATTTTTAGAATATGTAATATTATTGCCATGGTGACAAAACAGTTTCCTTTATCATAAGCCCAGGAATGTAGGGAATACCCAGGACTACTCCCAGGTATACTTCATGCATCAGACAGAAAATCACATACACACACACACATACACACATACATCCCCTGGTCCATGTTTTTGACTCTAATAGAGGAGAAGTGGAGAGAGCCAGCTGGCCACCTGTATGTCTGGGTGATCTCCACTGAGCGTGTTTTGCCTGGCTAGCAATAGTAATTGTCCCCTCACTGTGTTTCGAGCCTCGTGATGGTCGAAATATTTTTTCAGTGCTGAATGCGTTTTCTAGGTCCTGGCTTTCTCTCTCATTATTTTGGGGGGACATAATCATGAGCTTTATCATGGTCTAACTCAGGGGTAGCCTCTTCTGACTTTCTGTATTACTGTGTGTCTTTACAGGACAGATCAAGAAATCCAAACCTATACCATTGCAGTGATTAATGCACTTTTTCTGAAGGCTCCTGATGAGAAGAGGCAGGTAAGTTGCACTTCTTTTGTCTTAAAGACTGTGCCCAGTTGTGCTGGCAACTTTTGGTGCAGAGAGAGCCTTCCCCTTCCCATCCCAGGAACTCCTGTGGGGCTCCTTGCTGCCCAGTGGTTTGCCTGGACAGCCTGGGATCATTCACAGATCCAGTGGGAACTAGGTGGAGATGGGCAAGCCCCTGTCTGATGAGGAAAGTTAGGAGTGTTCCAGTGGTAGAGCCCTTTCATCACATGCAACCCAACACAGAAGCCCAGAACAAAGAGATGAAATAAAGATGAAACTCTGCCTCTGTGATGGATGCAGAGTTAGAAGCCCCTGTGATCGTCTGTCATTTCATTGGATACTCACTGGGTCCAGAGAGGGATTGTCTCCATTTGCCTGATGAAAAAACGTAGACCCTGAGAGTTGTCATACTTTCTCCAGGGAGGTGTGAGATGGAAAGGTGAGAAGACAGGTTCTTCTTCAACTAGGGAAAGGACTATTATAAAGTGGTTGTAGAAGTGGGTTTTTGCATGTCTTAGAATTTGATTCACACCTCAGAATCCATTCCTGGTTTTTTTTCCATCAACATAACATACTTGTTACCTTGGTCACAATTTACTTCATTTACAAACTGGATGGAAATATGAGATTTTTCAACCTTTAGGAAGTGTACTGGGGAACTTGATGACAGTTACCAATAAATTGTTTTAGAAGAATTTAGAAAGCTAGCATGCTACTGAACACTGTGTCAAGAATTTTATTTTTTTACTTTATTTTTTCGTTGCCAAGGATTTTAAATCTCAGTGGCTAAATGTGAAGGTTTCTGGTTTGTTTTCCGTTTAGGATTGTTTGCTCATTCCTAGGGGCTATGTTTGCACAGTAAGTAGAGTGGCTTTATAGTTTCCTGTGCTTTTGGTTTGGTGTTGGCTGGAGCCAGGAGGTGCCTGTCCTCCCCAAGCCTATGCTCCAGGCTGGATTTTTAAGGGTGGCTTTGCAGATCTTAAGTGGGATCCTGGGTAGGGCCGCTCCTTTTATATTTATATCTAAATACTGGGCTCATGATAATTCCCATCATCCCAGCAAATTGCCTGGGCATGTTCACAAGCCTGACATGGGCAGCACATACATAAACCTGACATGGGCATTGAGAAGCTTGATCCTTCTACTGGCCAGGCCACTGATGGCTGCTTGTAGAGTGGAGTCAAGAGCCAGGTCAGAATGCTGATCGGACCTCTTGAGACTGTCTTTTTTCCTGTGGCTGGATTAGAGGAAATGAAAGCTCATGCTCACCCCAAGTGCTACGATTTCACTTGGATCTCTGCATCTAGACACGAGTAAGATGCATACACCTTGCATCTTTCTGTTACGCTGAAACTACTGTTAATCTGTTGAATTGGAATTGAACGACCATGGAAAAATAGGGAATTAGATGCCAATCTATGCTGACTCCAGGACAATGATAACAATGAAAACATAATGGGGGATACCATTGTGTTAGGAATACCATTAACATTAGGTTTGGATTCTGCTAATCAAATCATTTTTTATTTTTGAAAAATTAGGCTCCATGAGACCGACACGGTACAGTTTGGCTGTATATTGCTATATTAATAATAAATCACAAAGGGTAGTCTAATAACATTAAACCATTTAAGAAAACAATTCAACTAAGAAAGATAGGGTGTATATCAACCAGCAGAAAATCCAAAGTATTATATGACTAATTTAGTCTTTGAAATAAAAATGATGATACTTGTCGATAGAAAATTAACTTGGACTTTATAAACTATGTTGAATTTAAGATGAATCAGTGATTATTGTTGGTCAAGAAAATGAACATTTCGATTTTTAATTTTTAAAGTACATTTTAGCGAGTTAAGAGAGCGTTGGCTCAAAATTATTTTGAGTTCATAATGAAGAAAAGTTTATTTGTTGTTATTTTCTGAACATCAGTGGAGGCCTTTAAAGCAGAAGATCAAGCTAGTTGGTGACATCTTGCTGTATATTATATATTGTTATTGGCTTGTGTTTTGAAAGATTGAAAGGTCTGAATTTTTTTGGCAAACAGGAAAATTTCCCAAAGCCTGTCACCAGTGATAATATTTGAGGGTTTGCCATGCACCCTGCCATGTTCAGTGTCTTATGTCATTTCATTTAATTCTCATATCTATAGAAAGTCTTATTATTTCCATTTTATAAATGAGGAAATTGAGAGTCAAAGGAAGTAGAAAACTTGACCGATTGCTGAGCTGATAAGAGTCAAAGCTAGAATCCCAACTTCATTCTTGCTCTTATCTGCAAAGCATCCCACTGAATGCCGGTCAAGGAGACATCACCTGCAGAATGGCCTTGTATTTGCCTGGTAAAGAACTTACTGACACCTGAAAGACATCAAGCCCATTTTCTTACTCCAATCAGATTAAAACATAATTCTAAACACTTATTTACTGGATTTACAGGAATGTCCCTTTTCTTGTTTGTTTGTTTGTCTTTTTAAAGCTTTTGGACATTGGATAAAATTCCTCTTCAGTCAAAACATTTTATTTATTTCAACCTTTCTTTCCAACTTGGGCTCAAACACATTGGTAGGACTCTATTATCTGGATTTTCTTTATTTTTCAAAATGTTAATGAATTTAGAAGGATTTTAAATACCTATACCTTATTTCTGCTTTTACTGAAGAAAAATATGACTAAAGTCAGATCTTTTTACTTGGCAGGCAGACCTGGGTGATATTTTTGTTTTGCATTCATTGAGTTGGCCTGCCTGAGAGAGCAGTGAACTTGGGCCTGGGGTATAACTGCATCCTCTGTGGATGGTCCCCTGTCAGCCTCCCTGGGAGGCAGGGGGTTGGGTCATGCTTTCCCCTGCCTCCCAGGTATTGGAGACTCTCCCTTTTCCTGCCCAAATAAAGGGAAGGGGTGCTTGTTTTGTGGGAGAGGGGATAGCTATTAGGTGGGCAAGTGGATCCTTTTTCTTACAACTAGTTGCCATTATTTATTTTATTATTTTCATGGCAAAGAATTTGGTCAGATCCCTTCCAAATTTCTCTACAAATATTTATGGCTTTGATAAGGATTATTTTTAAAAACCCCTTTATAGTTAAAATATTTGATAGAAAAATCCGAAAATACAGATTCCAAAGGAAGAAATTTTAAAGAAACCTATAATTACATCCCCAGAGAGGGAACCACTGCAACTACACACATCTGTGGGACTGTCATGGTCCTACTTCTTGCTTTTTGTGCAGACTCTCCTGCAGACTTCATTTTTTCACTAGATGTGATCATACGGCATGCACTGTTTTTTGTTTCTTTTTAACTGCTTTTAAAACTAAAGAAGATTTTGTGGACATCTTTCCATGTCAGTTTATCTATACAGGCAGACCTCGTTTTACTGCATTTCGCTTTATTGTGCTTTGCAAATACTGTGTTATTTTACGTGTTGAAAGTTTGTGGCAACCCTGCATCGACCAAGTCAACTGGCACCATTTTCCGACAGCATTTGCTCACATGGTGTCTCTGGTAATTCTTGCAAAATTTCAAGCCCTCCATCAGCAAAAAGATTATGAGTCTATGAAGGTTTAGATGATGTTATCATTTTTTAGCAATAAAGTATTTTAAAATTAAGGTATGTACATTGTTTTCTTAGACAAAATATATTGCATACATAATAGACTAGAGCATAGTGTAAACATAACTTTTATGTGCGCTGGGAAACCAAAATATTAGTGTGACTCACTTGATTGTGCTATTTGCTGTATTGTGATGGTCTGTAACCAAACTTGCAATATCTCTGAGGTATGCCTGTATCCATATCCATATTCATATCTATCTATATACTTTTATATCATGCTAATGGTATAAAATATTCTCCATAGATTCTCACGTTCACTCAAACCATTCCTTAATATTGGGCAAAAAAAAAAAGTCCATTGTGTGGACAAGGAGTTTTCTGTTTTCTCTCTGATCAAGTTCCTGTTCCTTTAGGGGGGGTAGCGGGATGTTTTATGAAACATTCATTGCCTATTCTGTGCCAACCATTGTGCTGTGGCTGGGAATGCAAAGATGAAAAGGACAGTCTTTGTGCCCTTGAGAAGACCACACTCTTATGCAGAAGATAAATATTTTAAGCAGATCATTATAATAATTGCTCTAGTAGATGTTGGAAATATACTGTCCCTTCTAACTTATTTTAAAAATTGTTAAGTCGATAGGCTGACATAGGCACAGAGAATTTTTTTCTTTTTTTTTGTTTGTGTGTCAATAAAGCAATAATTTCATTTTTATTAAAGAAAAGGAATTATAAAAGAACGTTGGGCCTTTTGTTTTCATCTGATCCAAGAAGAAAAAAGATGGACCTTCCTGTTTTGATCAGGAAGAAAGCATGGCTTTCTGCGACCCATGGAAGGGCAGTTCCTTCTGGATTGCCATTTAACTTGTTTCCAGTGGTGTCCTCGTCCTTGCCTTCTTATTTTCAAGAGGCTGGAAGAGGACTTAGTATTGGATTTTGTTTTTGTTGTCGTTGTTTTTTAAAAATTTTTATTGGAGTATAGTTAATTTACAGTGTTGTGTTACTTTCTGCTACACAGCAAAGTGAATCAGTTATACGTATACCTGTATCCACTCTTTTTTTAGGTTCCTTTCCCATATAGGTCACTCCAGAGTATTGCGTAGAGTTTCCTGTGCTATACAGTAGGTCCTTATCAGTTATCTATTTTATATATAGCAGTATAGTATTGGATTGACTTTGATGCCATCTAGCCCTTTTAGATCACCTTAGCGTATTTGTGTGCTTTTCTCTTCAATGCAGCGGGTCAGCAGGGGCGATAAAATTAAGCTGTAACATCTAACAGAGTGCTCTGAATTTCCATTCCTTCTTCTCTCCTGCTGGCTTTCCTTTCTGTGGTGGCGATGGCTGTTAGGTTGGTGTAGAGAGCAGTGTTGACATCCTTGATTGTCCTCTGACTGTAAGTCCCCACGTTCCCTTTGTCAGCACAAAGTGGGCCTTGCACTCCCATTCTGCCCCCGTCCAGCCCTGCCTGTGCGCCCCCTCGTACTTCCTCCCTGGGTTCTGAGTTCTCCTTGCTATCTCCAAGTTTATTTTGACCTTGATCGAATTCATGGTTGTGTTTTTAAATCATAGCTTAGTTTCTTCTCTACTCATTAAGAGTAGTGACACTAAAAATACCTCCCCCACCACCACCACCAGAAAACAACATTCAAGTGACTTCCTGAATATGAGCAGTATTTTTCCTTTGGGATGTTTGTACCAAGATTGTGTTCAACTATTTCATTTCCCCTTAGTACCTGTTTGACAATATTCAGAAAGGGCATCTGTGAATCATTTCATTTAATAAAATCACCTGCAAATCCTCTATGCCAGTCAGGCAGGCCAAAGCACAAAGCACAGCCTGCAGAGTTGAGGCCCAGGAATGCTGAGTGCGGCCCCTAGGGCTTTGCATCTGCCCAGATGTTTGTCCTTTGCTAAAACTTCACTCAGTTCATTTGCATAGACTATTAAGGCCTGGGGTACGTACTACTCACTCTTTGGTTTTGCACAGATGAAGATGAAATGGCTTTTAGAAGTCTTAGACCTTTAAAGTGATGGCTCTCTAGTATTGAAATCTCCTCTGTGCAGGTGTTATGTTGCCTTGTAGTAAAAACTCTGCACATATACAGTCTAATAAAATCTGATGAGCCGTTCCAGTGGGGAGCCATTGCTTTCATTTGGAGTGTTTGATTTTTATTCAGCACTTACCTTTTCCTGGAAGGAGGAAATTCCCAAGAAAACAAAGAAAAGAAATTTGCAGGTGCCAGATTTCCTTCCTTTGCTGTTGGCTACTGCTTTGTTATCTAAACAACATTCAAAAAGTAATTCGAATACTACTATCCACTTGAGTCCTTTCTTTGTTAAGAAATACTGCTGATATCCGGTTTTGAAGCACGCCCCAGGATAGAGTCATCTGGGGCTATGTGGAAATGTATCTTTCTAACCAAAGCTTTTCTGGCCGTGTGCTTTTCTTCCACAGGAGATGGCGAATATTTTGGCTCAGAAGCAACTGCGTTCCATCATCTTAACAGTGAGTACCTATGTGCTGTGACCACCTTGTTGGGAAGGAATGGTCTGGTGTATTTATTCATCTCCTCTTTTGGCTTGGTTTTGTGATTTGTTCTGTGACTTGCTTCTGTGGTGAAGCAGTAGTAACTAGAAAGGAGGAAAAAGTGTGCTTTTGGAAATGGAATAAACAAAGCTCTCCCACAGGAATGGCCTCATGATTGGAGGGAGAGCGTCTCTGGAACTGCTCTAGAGAGAAACGCATTCCGGCAGGAAGGGTTGGAAATCTCTCTCGGTGGGGCAGGTTTATTATACTCACTGAAGCTTTAGCTTTGCGTTTAAGGAAATCAGGGGCTCCCTGACTTTAAAAATTCCACCAGTATGAGCTTATACTGTTTTTAGTGAGGAAACTAGCTGGAAACATATCAGACTCTGAGAGAAGTCCTGAAATTTTGACCATCATTTTCCTGGGCCCCTTTCCTAGAGAAAGGCAAGAAAGACAGACATGAAACCCACTCATTAACTGTGATGCAAAAAAGACCTGAAACCTCAGTGGAAAAGAAGCTCTACATGTTATGTTGTGAATGTTTAGAAATAAATCAAATAGCAAGATTTCCTGAGGCCTTATCTGCTACTTGACTTCTAACCAAAGGCTGAAAGAAGCATGTGTGATTGATTCTTCTGCTTACCACAAAAAAAAAAAAAAGTGCTCGTGTAATTCTGAAAAGAAGTTCTGCAAGCTTATAGTTACACACACACACACACACACACACACACACATTCCAATACAATGAGGCCTTTAAAAATTAAAAACCTTATGAGGGCAAAGAAAATAAATATTCTAGAACCCAAAGCCAATAATAATGACTACAATTTGTCATCAAGTTTCATGTTAAACTTCCTGGCTGTTAAGGATAAAGAGAAACCATATGAGTGTAATTTTCACTGTTTGATAAAAGAGGTACCCCAGTTCTTCGGGGGATGACATATTTTGCCCCCTGAAACTGGAATCTGAAATGGGTATTGTTAGAACATTCTAATAGATTCTTGGTCCAAGAGTGGCTTTTTAGAAATCACAGAGGGATTCATAATACGGTTATTTTTTATACTGGCTCTCAATAAAGGTGGAAGCAGTGATTTTATTTATTTTTTTTGGCTGCATTGGGTCTTTGTTGCGGTGCGTGGGCTTCTCATTGCCGTGGCTTCTCTTGTTGTGGAGCACAGGCTCTAGGCATGTGGGCTTCAGTAGTTGCAGCACGCGGGCTCAGTAGTTGTGGCTCACAGGCTCTAGAGCGCAGGCTCAGTAGTTGTGGTGCATGGGCTTAGTTGTTCTGCGGCATGTGGGATCTTCCCAGACGAGGGCTCAAACCCATGTCCCCTGCATTGGTAGGCAGATTCTTAACCACTACGCCACCAGGGAAGCCCCCTGAAGCAGTGATTTTAAAGCATAGTTCAGTGAAGGTGTTTGTGCAGGGGAGGAGAGTGGGGAGATAAAGGAGTAGAAACTTGGAATTAAGGTCTTAGCCTGTTGTTGGTATCACCTTGGTAAGGCAGCTGGAGTTAGATTACCCAGAGATGGGGTGGGTGGAATGACTGTGGCCATCATGTCTCAAAGATCAGTTTGTTTCAATGGGACTTTTTACATGAGATTTTGATGGCTAGAAGCTCAAGGTTGGTATTCTCTGGCAGTAACCTGGAGTGCAGATACTTTTGAGTTGCTAATAAAATAGATACCCATATGCTCTAGTACCCATACACTTTGGATACTCAACATATACTATGAATTAACATTCTGTTGGGAAGATTGGAAGATATGAGGTTTGATTCTCCCCCCCATCCCATTGCCTGGCGTCCCACCCCCCAACCTCCATAATTTTGGTTCAGCCACTTCCTTCTATTCCTCATTCTTCACCCCGCCCCCCTTCTTCAATTGCTTATTTCGATATGGTGCTCAGAGCTGGCTGAGGAGTCCAGGTGCACGTCAGGTTGGGGGGCACCCAGAGAAAGTTCTTTGAGACAGCAAGATGTGGTTGGGTCTGGCACGTTCATTTGAACGGGTGTTTCACCACTTTGACTGGTTGGTTGGCAGTTTTAAGGCACAACAGTGGCCTCTGACAAATTGGATGTATATTAGACCCAAATGCTGCCTCCCGTTTCAAACCCAACCCTGGTGTGGGCGAAGGCCCCCATATCTGTCTCCTGCCACTCCTTTTATATTTGTTCCATTTTGGTTCTGTTTCAAAGGGGAAGGGTCATTTTTTTAAAAAAGAATTCATTGTTGGGCTTCCCTGGTGGCGCAGTGGTTGAGAGTCCGCCTGCCGATGCAGGGGACACGGGTTCATGCCCCGGTCCGGGAAGATCCCACGTGCCGCGGAGCGGCTGGGCCCGTGAGCCATGGCCGCTGAGCCTGCG